CTCGGAACATAAAATCATTTGAATGGGACGGAAAAAACTATCAGTAACAGAGAAAGAGTCTAGAGAGAGAGAGTTTAAAGACAGAGCCAAGGATCACCAGAGATGGAGAGATAACGACAGAGCAAGGTGGAGCCAGTAAGAGACACCTAGTTCTCAGGGTGAAGTCATGAAAAGACCTGAAGAACCCATTACAGATGGTTAGCCCCCAGCCTTGGCCTTCTGAATAGCAAGCACTCCTTGCAACTTGAAAGAAAGAGAGAGGGGGGGAGGAAGAGAGAGAGAAAGAAAGGAAGGAAGGAAGGAAGGAAGGAAGGAAGGAAGGAAGGAAGGAAGGAAGGAAGTCACTAACAGGTCATGACAGTAGAGGTAATGTGACAAACCACTCACTTTGTCCAGAAGGGCCTCCTGGAGCAACAGAAGCCACTAAGACTCTTGAATCTGTCCCCCAATAACATCCGGCCAGAGCAGGGAGGAGCAGAGGAAATCCGATTGGAGGGCCAGCTAGACAAAGAGCGTCTGTCCACCCAACAGCCTTCACTGTCCTCCCCACAACACAGGACAATGGGCACTTCTCTGCTGACTTCTGTTCTCAACAGGACAGAGGGTAAACTGTGACAGGCAAGTCCTACCAAAGAAAGTGGCTTGTGTATAGAGTGTGCCCAGGGCTCAGTGATGTCATACTAAACCCTGGAAGGAAAAGGAACTGGGAACATGGGTGGGGACAAGGGGGGGCAGAAAAAGTACAAAAGAGGGAGCAGATTTCCACCATTGGTGGTCCCACATATATCAAAAGCCCCTGCTGAACACAGCCCCACAGAGACACCCTTGCAATGGGACTCTCCAGGCCTGCCTCTACTGTCCCCAAGTGTCTGATGAATTTTCTCAGGAGGGGGCAGGTTAATCTTCCTTCAAACTTCTATTCCACCAAAGGTCAGCCTAGAGAACCAATGCGTTTATTAGGCTTATTAACAGCGTAGGCGATCCTGAGACAGCCAGGACGGAAGGTCTGCCCCCAGAATGAATGATGGCCTCCCTTGTGACTGCATAAATAGAACTCCCTTGTCCCTAGTCTTCCCAGTTACATACTTCAGCTCTCCTCAAGAGCCTGGGGTCACACGGAATTAAGGCAAACTCTCATACAACTGACAGGGAGGAATGGTTGGTCCACTCAAGCATCCAATAATCCAATAATCCTCCTTCTCCCTCATTGGAGGATGGGATACCAACAGCCAATGTGCCCAGCTGTGATGTGCTTTTGCAAGCAGACACAGCTGGTCTTAGGAAGATGGAGGCTGTTCTGATTGGAGGATAGAACTATACAGCACCTCACTAGACAGAGACAGGCTAAGGTCAGACAGTAACCTGACACTATCCCTGGATCTCAAAGCACAACATTGTAGTCATGAGTAGGAGGAGATGTGGACTGAAGAGCTCTGCCTTCCAGCTGCCCATAACCCCAGGTTGACAAGATACCTATTATATATCCCAGCCTGGCCTCAAACTCACAGCAGCCCTCCCACCTCAGCCTCCAAGGCGCCAAGATTACAGGCATGCACCACCTGCTTGGATACAAAACGTTAAATACTTCACTCACCCTGAATAATGTCTTAAAAGTGATTTACAAAAGAAACGCCTGATGCACACAAAACCAGAACCATGGCTGCAGGACCGGAGGCAGGAGCGGGGAAGGACTTCATCTGGGGACAGCCATTCCTTTTTTTGATGATGATCTGAGTACATGGACACGTATCTGGTTATCCATACATTTGGACAGAAGCCATTGAACCATATGCTGGAAGTGAGAGTATTACCAGGTACACAATACGCCATGATAGAGTTGGTCTAAAAGTAACATAAATAGAAAATGTGTTTATGTAGAAACCAGTATGTGTTTTACTCACAATTCTAAAAACTTAAAGCAACGAGAGAGACGCTCTTCGGGAGTTGAAAAGGTAAATGGTGGCATATCCAGACAGTGGAGTCTTCGGCACTGAAGAGAAAATCACAGTTCAGCCATGAAGACACCAGATTTTCTCCTTCCTCCTGGTTGTTGGCAGCATCTTCTCCAGGCTACATTGCATTGCCACAATTAGTGAGCAGCTCTAGGCTTCTGCTGTCGCTGTAAAGTTTACATAAGAGCAGGGACCCCATCTATAGAGAGGTGTAAATCCTCTGGCTGCATCCTCAACTCAAATGTATAGGACAAGGAGCTGAGTGGGAGGCGGGCAGTGGGTAGGAGGAGCCCCCAAATAGATGTCATTTGTGTGTGTGTGTGTGTGTGTGTGTGTGTGTGTGCATGCGTGCGTGCGTGCGTGCGCACAATTCACACACATGCCTTTGTTTAATTGTGCATGCACCTACATTCTCAAGCATTTGGTGGACAGAGGACAACCACTAATGAAGTCAGGGGAAAACCATGACCGTGGGGCCTCAGGCACTACCTAACTTGGCTTTTTGAGAGTGTCTTTCTTACCAGCCTGGAACTCACCAAGTAAGCTAGTCTGGCTGGCCACAAGCCCCAGAGATGCACCTGTCCCCACCTTCCCATTCTTGAATTGCAAGCACATATTGCCACATCCGGCTTTGAGAAGTGCAATCTGATGATGGAACCAGGTCGTGTGTTTGCAAGGCAAACTCTGAACCATCGCCTAAGTACCCAAATGTCATCTTGAGTAGAAGGAGCAGTAGAAAGATGGAAAGATAAGAGTGATTTGCTGTTTTTCAGCCACACCTGATATAAGCAGTAAGACTGGAGCCCAGACAATATATTGGAGTCAAGGCTCATGGGCCTTGCAACCCTGGAACCTGGTTTTCAGAACTCTACGTGTTTTAACCCTCTGATACTCCAGGCCCAGACACAAACACATAGTGTGTGGATGTCCTCAAAGTTCACATACACACTGGAAATTTGGCTGTCCCTAAGAGCAAGAGTGTTCTCCTAGTGTTCAAGGCCTGTATCCCTCTCCAGAAAGAGAAAATCGGTCTTACTCTGGTCTGCCCTTAAATAGAAGGGAATAGGGAGGCCCACACTCTATACTAGGCTACCCTTGGAGTCTGCCCCTCCAAAGAACATGCTTTGTAACCCTATGAGGATTTAGGCTTCCCTTTGTAGGGACCAGTATCAGCTCAGGATACCCAAGACAAAGTTCTCGGGATAAAGGAGATTGTTTTGCTCCAGAGGGACTAAGGGCAGGGAATAAGAGACGATGACAGGAGATAGAGGACAAGGAAGAAGGGGAAGGGGACAAGGTTAAAGGGGAAGGGGTACTTGTCCCAGGAGGGACAAAGGCCTGTGTCTGGATAGAGAGGAGACAGACATGGCCCATAGGCAGATGCTGGTTTATGAGGGAAAGGGAAAGCCTGTGTCAGGGTGAGGTGCTTTGTTTTTATTGGATTGATTTGTTTACTTTTAACTGGGGCAGCCACAAGGGAACTTTCGATTGCTGGACTTCAATACCTTGATAGCTGAATCTTGGTAGTCAGCCTGAGGAGGAGGAAGTGGGCAAATAAGGGAACAGACCTTGGTGGCTAGCTTTAGGAACGTAATCTAATGGTTTTTAGCAAGGCAAAGGGAATGGGAGAGAAAGGCTAGACCTGTCAGAGCCGTGTTAGTCGTGTTCCGGCTGCCATGTTCAGTGGCCCCAATGGAGGACTGGCTAAGCTTACCTGATTTAGTTGCCTTCCTAAGCCGACCCCAAACTTCTTCCTACCCAGATCACGTAGACAACATCCATGCACCTGGGTATCCCAAGCTCATATGCACCATCCATGCTCCCTCGGGTCCTGCGGTCAAGTTTAACTCAGCTCACCCGGGTCCCCTCTGTTCAGTGGGGCCCCCTCTTCTCAGCTGTTGGGCCTGTTCTGGTTTGAGTTTCCTGGGGGTGTCAGGAGGTCATGTAATGTATGAGGCCCCCAATCGTACACCATGGAATCCCAGTCAAATCAGGCGGTGCTCACAGGGAGAAAGGGAATGTCAAGACATTTCCGGTTCCCCAAGAACCCTCTCCAAGAGGTGTAGCTGACTGATGTAACTATATCTTGCATTTTATATTTTAAGATGTTTTGACTTGCTGGAGCTTGCTGCGGGGGAGGGACATGTCCCCACACACACTCCGAACCAGTCAGTTCCTAGGAACAACACCTCAGGATTTGGCTAGCACATTCCTTGGACAGACCGACACACCCACATTCTTCTTTGACTTCCAGGTGTGAAACTGTGCTCCCCATGCTCTGAACTGGCCGATGCCAGAGAATCAAAGAGGATCCCAAAGACCAGACAGAACCGGGGAGTTGGAAATGACCCTCCCCCACAAAACCCAGACTCCAGAATCAGCCACACCTGCCGTCAACGAGCAGTCTGCTTGCTCTGCCCGTCCCCTGCAGGGGCCACAGTCAAGGCCTGGCTTGACCCACTCTCTCCCTGACCCCACCCACCCCACCCATGGCATGCAGTGACCACTCCTTGGTTATGGCAGCTGCATGGACTCTTATGGTCACACGCAGAGCCCTCACGGCTCCATAATGCCAGCCTCTGGGACAGGACCTGGCTGTGACCTGGCTAGCTCATGAGGAAAAGTGAAAAGATGAGGTCATGACCATCCCAAGCCTAACCCTAACCCTAACCCTAACCCTAACCCTAACCCTAACCCTAACCATCCCAAGCCTAACCCTAACCCTAACCCCTAACCCTAACCCTAACCCTAACCCCTAACCCTAACCCTAACCCTAACCCTAACCCTAACCCCTAACCCTAACCTAACCCTAACCCTAACCCTAACCATCCCAAGCCTAACCCTAACCCTAACCCCTAACCCTAACCCTAACCCCTAACCCTAACCCTAACCCTAACCCTAACCCTAACCCTAACCCTAACCCTAACCCTGAATCCATGGCAGCTCGCTGCAGTGATACTAGCCTAGGACTCATTAGAATCCACTTATCATGGGGACACGCCACGCCTGCCATTCTGGAGACCGGAGGGAGAAGCAAGCACAGCAAAATTCCAGAAGCGCTGGCACATGGTTTATTTCGTCTTGGCACAGGTGACAAACACAAAGGGTTTTACAGTATTTCTGCCGAGGATAAAACTCAAGCGTTAGCACAGTTAACTACACATCCGGTAAGGGCCGGCCTGACTTTCCCTTAAACAGGTACAGACCTTCACTAAACCGCAGCGTGTGAGTACTCGTTAGTAGGTACTGGTGAGAGATCTACCGAGCATGGGGGTGGGGCAGGGGCGGGGGGGCAGGGGGCGGGGCTGCAACCTCACGTTAGAATACACCTAGACTTTTACTTCAACCCAAACCTGTCCACAAAGCCATGTGAAGTTGCTGCCAGGGTCGACTTCCCGCCAGGATCTTCAGCGTCTCACAGGCCAGCCTTCTTGGTGGATGTGGACAGAGCGTACGTGACAACGGCCGCTTGGATAAATGCAGATGCAGCTAGATGGCTGTCAGGGTTCCACTTTCAGCTTGGGCCATTACTTCCTTGTGAACAGTATCACGGAAGAAACGGGGATGTTAAAAGTTCTCGGGACTCAAAATGAAAGCGTTCTGTAAGTTAGGGAAGGCACTTAAACTGAAACCCAAAGCTAAAGAGCACGTTGGCTCCCACCTGACACCCAGATGCTCCGCAAGCCTTATGGCCACGTCCTGACTCTCCTTCACTTCAGCAGGGCCCTCAAAGGCATTCAGTTACAACACTGGACAAAGCTGGCTAACAGCTCGCACTGTCGCTGCCGCCACAACTGCTAGAGATCGCTCGCTGTTCATTGCTTTTTGTCAGCACAGCAAAAGCAATACAGGTAAGAAATCAAACTAAGCAGCCAACAAAACTTCCACGACATTCATTTTCTTAGAGTAAAAGAAACTCCTGCCACCCTTTCCTTAGAAACCGAGTCACCACATTCCAAGTCCTCAAAGCTGCCAAGAGTCTGCACCAGAGCCAGAGGTGGGGCTTGTCCCATGTCAAAGTACAAAACAGAAAAAAAACCAAGAAACATTAGCTCGTTGCCTAGGATCCCAAATGAACCCTGGCAAAACAAACATAACTACCCACCAACCAAACAAAAGGTCGATCCTTTGTCTGTCAATCATTATCCCCTTAAAGAAGCGCTGTTCTTTATAACAATTGTGGTGTCAGCATGCAAGGGTTAAATATCTCGAGGTCACATTAGCCTTATTTGACTCTTTTAGCTGACGGTCAGATCTGTGCTCACACAGACCACCCTCCTAGGTGGAGTTAGATGCAGAGTGTGGCCAGTATGTAGAACGTGATGGACCTACCCAGGTTCACACACTGGAGGCTCATTTCACTACCAAACCAATACTGTACAGAGTTCACTTCTCTTTGTCGGGGTGTGGGGGGTAATGCACAAAGGTTAGTGTTAACTTACAGGATCTAGAATCACCTGGAAGGTGGGCCTCTAAGCAATGCCTCTTGGGAGCTACCTTGATTGCATTGATGTGGAGCGGAAAGAGCTGCCCCCTGTGGGCCATGCACCACTTCCTGACTGGGTCCTGGGGATGCACTCATGGAGAAAGAAAGCTGGGAGGTAATGGGCATTAAATGCTAACCCTCAAGGTCCTGCCCTGTGGCCACCACAATATGAGGGACTGTAACCTGAGCTCTGAGCCAGAATAAAACCACTCCCTTAAGTTCTTTATGTCAACATGAAATGAGTCTAAGACAGATGGGTGGCAAACCTTCCAGATCCCAAGAACAAGATACATGGTTGCTAAGACGTGACAGTGCTTGTTGTGTTTGCTTTTATATGGGGATCACTATTCAGATTCAGGATATAAAACATTTTATGTATGTTCTCAAAAAAAATAGGTTGGCCACACATCTGTTCATGATTAATGAACTAGTTTTCTTTTCACGATTCACAAATTAATACATTTACCCTTTTGACGTGCTTGGGTTTTGTTTGTGTCCTGTGGGGCACACTAGTGTGCTGTCCCCACAGGAAGACTCCTCTGTCTGGTGTACATCTGTCCTCTCCGGGGACATGTCACTCAACAGGCCAGATTTCAAAAGTGAACGTCAGAGGAATGCCTTCTTAGGCAAAACCACATGACAGTATTTTGTAAGTTTGGCACTTAAGGAATGAAAACAGGGACCGATTTCATGTGAAGGTGCCAACAGTAGAAATGACAGTCTGGAGGGAAAAGGTGCTACAGTATTAAAAGGTACATCTCTCCAAACATCATCTCACTTGGCTCATCAGCCCTTTCCCCAGGACACCCCTGAGAAGGACCAATAAAGCCAGGCAATAAGATGTCTGGTTTTCCTTCCTAAGATGATTAACCGAGCTGACAAGACATCTTGGTCTATGCTTAATCACGAAAAAACACACAGTGACCGGAACACACAAATGGAAACTGTAAACTCCATCCCCCTGGGTCATTGCAGGATAACCAAGCTGGCTGTTTGTAAACACACTTCACTGTGACCTCTCAGAGCAGACTCTAAAGCCTAACCGAATTCCCCGCGAACCACCGACTTCCATGGAGATGACATGGTGAGTGCGGAGCTTCCTCTAACTCTCTTTCAGAAACTCTCAGCATGTAGGGACCCTGTTGCAATAAAACAATGGGCTAGTGTGGACTCTGAACAAGTTGCTTGGGAGCATGCATTTTGTCCTTAACTTCTTAATAAATAGGAAGCCTCGCCTGTGTGTACTCAAAATGTACAACATCCTAACGCATGAGCGAAGACAGATTTGGTTTGGTCCCTGTAACCTTGTCTAGGAATGAACCTCCCTCTAACTCTATTAGGGTATTTCGGGAGTTAGATAAACGTCACTCACTTGCTAAACAAAACACACATGTTTCTCCTTGTCCTACTCCTTAGCATGTGGCTTCCACACACTTTCTTGGGAGATGGTTGTCACTTCATCTCCCTTATCAGAATCACAGAAGACACCTTAGAAACATAGCCAAGTAGAGAGCTCACAGAGTGCAACTATCAACACACGACTCTACCTTGTTTTGGAGGGAAGTTTCCCCTAGTTCGTTCTGAAACAGGAAAGCGGGTGAGCATGCAGAGCCTGCTGTCCCAGGGGCCTTTCAATAAGAAGCCTGCCCCCTCCCCCTGCTGGCCATGCTTTTCCGTTCAGCGTGCTGTCTGATAGCATTTCCTCACCAGAGATTTCAAATCTAAGCAAGGACAAATGACCACCGGAGCTAATAACATCCTCTCCACGGTTGCCTGGTTGTGTGTCTATGGTTGGACACAGTATGTTTGGGACTAGAAACCATGCTGGCCAACGAAGATTCACCTTCGGTACTTGATACATTACTCTTTTTGAAGTTACGCCTCACACAGTGAACTTTTCAGGTCTTATAAGTTATGGTTTTAAATCTCAGTGCGGGCTGTGACCCTCCCTCTGCAGTTGCATTGATGCCTGGCCTACTTTAGGACACCATTCAGTCTTGAGGACCTTGCAGTCACTGGTAAGGAAGGAACTGGACAGGCTCCTTATTACACCTCCTGTCCGCCCCTGCTCCCAACTTCATCTGTGGCCTCTACCTCTTCCCTTAGGCATCGGGTTATCTGCATCTTCCCAAACTTTATGCCATGACACTCACTAAGCAATTGAAGCAACAGGAGAATCCGGCACTGCAAAGCAGGACTTAAAACAGCGTTGCAAAAATGTCTTCTGAACGAGCGAAGCTTACACTCTCAAAGCGTTGGCATGATACAGTGTGGCCAGCAGCCTGGCCTATGCGGAGGTCCCTCTCTTCCTGCACCCTCTTTGCCCTCCCTCCCCACTGGGGGGGGGGCTAGTCCACTGACTTGCAACCCTTCCTGCCCCCCTCCCGTTCCCCGCCCCAGTTGCTGGACAGTGGAGTTGTCCAGCTGATCCTGTCCTAGGCTGCACCCTGCTCCCCACGGTCTGGTTTCTCAGGCAGGTTGAGCACGAATGGAAACAGTACGCCCCGGACATCCAGAGGGGATCCCAGGGGCTCAGGCTCAAAGCTGCCACCAGGTCCCATTTCGCCACCAGCCTCAGTGTCCTGAGAAGGCACGTAGCGCCAGGTCCCCGCGCGGCTCACACAGTAGATGGTACCGTCCAGGGCGGCGCAGCGGAAGGGCTGCAGGCCTGATGGAGCGCCCGGGGGCCGCAGGTGCACAGCACACTGGCTCCATTGCTTGGCCAGGCAGTGGTAGCGAAATACGCTGACCCCACCACCTGTGCCGACCGCAGTCTGAACGTCACCGCGGCTCCCGCACAGGTCAAAGCGATAGAGGAAGCCGTCGAGGGCCACCATGTCAGCAGAGCGCTCTCGGCTACTGCTACATGGGCACTCCTGCCACTCATCGCGCCGGGGGTCGTACTTGAGCAGGCGGTAGAAGAGAGAGCCTCCAGACACGTAGATCTCGCCATTGCAGGTGGCAGCCTCATGGGCCACTGCGAAGGCTCCCCGGGGCAGCGGGGCCACCGCGGTCCAGCGGTCCGCTCGCGGGTCATAGCGCTCCACGCTGAGCAGGCACTCGCCGCCCACGGCATACAGGTGGCCGTCCAGGGCCAGTAGCTGCACCTGAGAGCGCGCCTGGCGCAGCGGCCGCACGGTACTCCAGCAATCGGTGGCCGGGTTGTAGCAAAACACCTGGTCCGACGGGCGCGCGCGGCCATCGGGACCCGCAGGCGCCACACCGCCCGCCACGAAGAGGTAGTTGAAGAGCACGCAGAGGCCGCAACCGCGAGCCGGCGCGCCCTCGGGCAACCGCGTCAGCTCGCGCCACTCCCCGGCGTCCGCCTGGTAGCAATAAACGGCCGCGTCCCCGCGCGACTCCGCGTCCCCGGACGGGCTCTGCGGACGGCTGCCCGCGCGCTCCCCGGTTGGCCCGAGCGCGGCGGCCAGCAGGCAGGCGCGGCCCGAAGCCAGGCGGCGCCGCAGCAGCAGATCGCGCTCGGCACCGGACAGGCGGCCGAAGACGGCGGGCTCGCGCAGCACCTCCAGGTAGTGGTCGCTCATGAAGCGGTAGGCGGCGTCGCGCAGCTCGCTCAGCCGCTGCCGCTTGCCGGCGCTCAGCACCTCGTAGCAGTTGTCCAGGCTCAGATGCGGCGCCATGGCATCGGTGGCGCGCTGCGCAGCGCCGGGTAGCTGGAGGCGGCGCGCACCGGCCACCACCTCGGCCACGTTGTCCGGTCGCACGCCCGCCATGCACCCGCTGTAGGCGTCCGCCAGCAGCAGCCGCAGGGCCGTGAAGCTCACGCCTTGCACCCGCAGAACGTCCCGTGACGCGCGCGCGCGGAAGTAGTCGCTGCGCGCCGCCAGCACCGCCTTATGCGCCCGCAGCCGGCGACCGGCCACCTCGATGACCAGGTCTGGTTCTCCGTACGCGGGGCCGACCCCGGGTGGCACCGGAACGGGCTCCCCGAGCTCGTCTAGAGACTCCACAGGACGCGCGTCCTCGTGGCGGGAAGGGGGCTCCTCGGGCGACGCGGGCTCTTCCGGGTGCGCGCACTCTTCCGGGGACTCCGGGGACGCGGCGCTGCTGACTTCCCACTGCGTCTCCACCACGCGCAAGTCGCTGCGATGGGGAGGAGGAGGAGAGGCTTCGGCGCCCTCCGCGGCAGAGGCGCGAGACTGCGGTGGGGAGTCATCCCCGGAGCTGAAGCACAGCGAGGTGCTGAGGCTGCAGGGTGTCTGAGCCGGGGACACAGCGCCCTCCTCCTCGGCTGGCAGCGGCAAGCTGTCCTCTCCCGGAGTCCCGGGCTCAGTCCCCGGGTAGAGGATGAAAGGCGCCACAGAGTTCTCCATGAGTGTTTTGTGTTGCGGGCAACCTCTGCCAGCTCAGGAGTCACACATGCCTGGTGGAGGCTGAGCGTCCTTTGCCCTGGGGTCTTTGGCAGCACACCCTTTCCTTGGCACCAGATCAGATTTCACATATGTCCACCTCCCTCCCCGTTCACGCCACTCCCACCTTGCCCTTCCCACTCCCCTCTCTTGTGAGGAGGACGCGCCCAACGCCCACTGAACTTTTGAACCGCGGGATCCTCAACTCTGGCTATACCCGCTGGGGTGGAGGTGGGTGAACCAACCAGCTCAGTGCCAAAGTTTTGTTGCAGTTCCCATGTCCAACAGCCCTGAGCTGTGACTCTCTTGTATGGCTCCTCTGCAGAACTGTGGTTAAATGCTCCTGGTCCACCATGGCATGACCTTCATTTGACTCTTGTGTCACCTTGCCACCAACGCTGTAGCCCCAGGACCAGTAGATCCTCTAGGGGCTGTAATCACATTTAAATCCTTGGCTTCAGTTCCGTTTTAGCCTCCAGTTGTGCAGCCCAGCTGTGTCTGAGTCCTGGGTGGCAGCTCTGCACCCACAGCGTCCACCTAGGGAACCACTCCACCTATGGGTGCGTGTCTGGAAACCCAGGGTTCTTCATTTGTCATCCAGAGCCTGGCTGCTTCCTTTGTGGGATGTCAGGCCCCCACATCACTCTCGGCATTCTTGCTCCTGTTCACAGAAGGAAAGCGGGAAGATTTGAGTTTTACCGTTGAGTGAAATGGCTTTACCCCAGGCCCTCCATCGATAGCAGTTAGTAGTCTGTCTGGTGTCCAGATGTGTGATTAGCATTGGAGTTTGGTGGAGAGGAAATACATAATTACTAGTCCCCTTCTGGCACAAGACTAAGAAGAGCCCAGTTCAGGCAGTATGTGTCACCAAAAGAAGCTCTGATCACAGTGAAGGAAACCCAATATGTGGCTAGTTGGACGTCATTAGCTATCAAGGAAAAGCTTTAACTCAGTAGAAGTACATTTAGAACCAAGATCATGTGTTGAGAAAGCTACAAAACCTTGTTAACTTTATCAATGCAGTGGCAGTCTCCCTTGTTCTTTCTGGACAATAATCTTACTAAATGACAACAAATATATGTCAGATACTTGAAATCAGTCAAGGATCGAATCCCGGGGCTCCACCTGTCACCCCTGTGGTCATTATTGGTCTCTTCCTCAGAGAGGCAGTCGCCAAATAGCATGAAGCTGGTAAAGGAAAAACAAGGCAGAGCTGTGGAGGTGTGGGAGGGTTCCCGGGCCCTCAGAGCAGTAGGCGGGGTTCTCCTGCGCTGGCAAGCACTGATGTATGAGCCCCTGCCTGCTGGAGGGGATTCGAGCACAGAGCAGTGTGGCCAGTTTACTCTAGCCCTCTGAAGAGTATGAATGATGGGAAATAGAGGCAACTCAAGGGCTGACACTAATGTAGGCCAAGCACTTGCTTCCCCAAGGCAGTAACATTCAGGTACTTTTCTTGAGCATCTCACGACCACACACACACACACACACACACACACACACACACACACACACACACACACACACACACACACACACACACACACGGTTATGTAAGTGCTGTTATGGTTTGAATGTGGCTCGTCCCTCATAGGCTTATGTTGGAACACATGATTCCCAGCCAGCGGTGCTGTTGGAGGAGGCTGTGAATGTCTGAAGTAATAGACACCCAACCTTTTAACATTGTTACAGGATGTTGCCATCCTCAGTGTTGCCGCTGGAGACTTGTGTGCTGTGGAATAACCCTCCTGGAAAGATTTGTCACTTGAATTGGAATACTAAAACACTGATAGACCAGTAGCCAGGCAGGAAATGCAGGCAGGGCGACCAAACTAAGGATGATAGGAAGGAGAAGGGCTGAGTCAGAGTAGTTGGCATCCAGACACAGAGGGAGCAGGGGATGAACATGCCATGCTAACAAGGGTACTGCTACATGGCAGAGTAAATAAGGAACATGGCTTAACTTAACATGTAAGAGCTAGTCAGTAATAAGCCGTGGTCAATAGACCAAGCATTTACAACTAATATAAGCCTCGGAGTCAGTTATTTGGGGCAGGGTGGTTGGGACAGGAAACGCCTGTTTACATCTGTGTGGTCAATTTAACCCACCCCTTGAAAATATCCCCTCATGTTTTAAGTTATGAATTTAATTTTGGCCACATTCGTTGCTATCCTGGGTAATGTGTGTTTAGGAGCTGGGGCTATGACTTGATGGTTATAGACCATCTCATTGCAACCTTTTTTTTTTTTTTTTTTTTTTTTGCTTTCTGATCTGCCTGGGCAGGCTCCCGCCATCAAAGATGAAGCCCCAGCTGTCATACCTAGCCCACGGTAATAAACTATAACCCTCTAAGCAGCAAGCCCTAAGTTCCTTCGCCCCTTAAGCTGTTTGTCAGGTCTTTTGTCATAGTGACGAGAAGAGTAACAGAAGTAAGCATTGTGCAGCACTCCCACCCACCCCTGCTTCCTCCAGCCACTTTGGCACTGACATTTACCGTGGAACATGGAGACATTCGGTTCCCTCCACGCCAGATCTGTTTCCTCAGGAAAGATAATGCTAAGGAAGTTCGCCAGGCACATGGGTCCAAGGACTCCTAGGAGGGTGGAGGACATGATGTGCTCTGGTTGACTATGACCTCCATGATGAAGCCTCCATCCGGCTGTCAGTCCAGGGAACAAGAGGACTCGCTGGCTCACAGCAGTGAAGGCGTGAGGATGACTGCCCACACATGACAGATGGGTGTCCCAGAACCCCACAGGCTGCCGAGCTTTCCACGTGGGCTTAGCTACTGAAGGAAGGTGAAGTCAGCAGCTGGGCACACTGCACATCTCATGTGAAATGTCTGGAAACCTCAGTGTATGAGAGACAAGCAAGGCTGGCTCTCCTGCTCAGCCCACTCTTGACACGGTCTCTGTGAGGGCAGCAGGCCGTCACCTTTAGAACATCACATGACTTGGGAAGTGGCCGCAGAACTACCTGGTTCCTTGGTTTTACAGCCTGAGTGGGGGCATGGACCAAGTAACAGAAGACTCTAAAAGGGAAGCTTGGAGCCAGGTGGCAGTGGGGCACGTCTTTAATCCCAGCACTCGGGAGGCAGAGGCAGGCAGATCTTTTGTGAGTTCGAGGCCAGCCTGGTCTACAGAGCTAGTTCTAGGACAAGCTCCAAAGCTACAGAGAAACCCTGTCTCGAAACAACAACAACAACAGCAACAACAAAACCAAACAAAAAGGGGACACTTGGGATTGTTCGTTTAAACCCTGAAGGAATGGTTGGCAAGTGAGCATTTTACTGTGTCCATAACTAACAGAGTCTCCACGCTGAAGCTACGCTAAGGCATTGGTGTGGTCTGCCCACACCTATGGGACCTGTCTCTGGTCAGGAGACCTGGGATGGAGCTGACTTTAGTTCCTACTCATTTAGGAAAAGGAAACTCAGCTACCGCCAAAAGCACGCTGGTGAGCTCTTAATGGCTATATCACTCTTACTCCCAACACAAACGACCCCAACATGACTTTTGGAAGCATACTTCCAGAGTATGGCTTCAATAGTGTTCCACTGAATTCCTTGGCATCCCATGTTGCCCTCAGCACAGACGGAGGCCGAGTTGGCTGAGTCCTGTAGCCTCACTCAGCTCCCTCCTCAAGCAAGAGCTCTCCCGTGACCCTGTGACAGCCAGCAGCACACACCCCACCACTGCAGCGAGGCCTGTCAAGCACACCTGTTAGTGTTCAGGCATCTGTGCTGGTCAGCCTTTGGAGTCCTGACAGGACACGCCCTCAGCTGTTGCCACTAAGAGCACCACCTGTGCCTATTCAGTATGTTCCCTTTTAAAGGGGTCCTGCCCACCCCCATCTCTCTCTTTCCCTCTCTGTCAGTGCCCCCTCCCTCTGCCTCTCTCTCCCCTCTCCTGCTGCTCCTGTCCTGGGAGGCCAGTCTCCCCACTCCCCTTTCCCCTTTTTACGATCCTCTTCCCTCAATAAACCACCCCCCACTTGAACTCTGTCACACTTTTTTTTTTATTACAACCACACCTTTGTGAAGCTGGTGCCCAAACAGGGTCACACTTCAGAAATCTGGTTACTTAAACTGGGAGCTCAGGCTTGCTGCACATTGCCCCAACTCAAAAAAGAGATGGAGGTGTTGAGCCCAAGACAGAGAGTCCCTTTGCCTTTGGGGGGTGGTGTTAAAGGAAACTGGGTTTCTTCACTAGGGCCAGCCATTCCTGCAGCTTACCCCTACAACGGACAAAGCGTCCAGCCCATTTTCACACACAAGCCCTCCCTAACGAGATGGAATGGCTTCCCGGACAGCCTGTCGGTGGGAACGAATGCCTGAGCTTTCCGACTCCGATGTGAGCCCACTTCCCTCCTGGGCTTGTTCAGAGAAGCAACGTTAGTTGTACAATCGGCAAAGGCGTGCTCACATTAGAGGGTTAACTGTAAACCATAGCAGCTTTAGGAAGTTATGAAAGTTTAAGCAAATAGAATTAAAAACAAATAAAAGAACGACCCCGATGTCTGTGGCTCTGCTAAGACTGTGCCATGAAATTCCAAACCGAATGGAGGTTTGGACATGGAAATTTCCCTGCTTTGTGGTCAGCTGTAGGGCCAGAATTCCTTGGGGGCTCCTGCAGAGCGAGCAAGCACCTGCACCACTGTGGTGCAGTAATTGGAGCCCTCACTGCCTGCTCTTGACCTTAGGCCTCTGTTCAGAGTGCTGCTGGGAAGGAGCTTGCCTGGGCAGAGGAGGGGGTGAGTGGCAGAGCCTCCTCCTAACTAGCCAGGAAATCATGCACTACGGCAGGATTTTAGTTAAATATGATTTACGTAGCATTTTCTCTTGCAAAGTTTCTGTTTACTTACCATTGATACGAATAAAAACCATACAATTGGGTGTGGCTTCCCACTGGGCTGTATGATTAACATGGGAATCGGTTTATTCAAAATTAAATGCCATGCCTTGCTATAATGCCAGTTGTTGAAAAGAATCCTTCCAGTTGGTACAGCCAGCTCCCTTTAAGTTTGCTGATGTACTTACAAACCCGAGGCAAACTTCAGTGATATGCAGTACTTACAAGACAAACTCCCCTCATGCCCCCCACACCTACAGAACCACAGCCTCTCTGGGGAAAGGTGTCTTCACTTCGCCTACCTGACGCTTCACAATCAAGAACCAATAAACTGCAACCGGGATCCTTGGGCCGTAGATGAGGCTCAGGGCGATGTGTTTCCACACCCATCTCTCTCCCCACCCACCAGAGTCTTCCCTGCTGCAGCAGCTCATGAGATAGTGTGTGTCCACCATCTCAGGCTGTCTGCCGGGCAGGGATGTGACTGTATGTCAGGGAAGGTAGCCTTGCCTAGGAACCTCCATTCCCCCGTGAGACAAAATTCTTATGCCTTAAGCTCATGCCCCATGGCATCTGCCCCAATCACTGCTGGCCTTGGGTGCAGCAGCCAGAGGGTGCCGGCAATGGGTCGTTTTAACCGTGTGTAGTGCTGATGATATGCATCTCCATCTCTCTCCTGAAAGAGTGAAATTCAGTAAAAGGGAGATCGCTGTAGCTGGTCCGTCCCTGGAAAGGAGCAGAGTGGGTGAATGCTAACTGGTGAGTTTGGGCTAGGGTTACTAAAGGCCATGTTCAGAAGCTCAGAAGCAGCAGTCATCTGTCCCCCCAACAAACAGAAGCAGCAGTCATCTGCACCCCCAACACACACACACACACACACACACACACACACACACACACAAACTAAAGGGTCTTAAACTTCCCCTCTTCTGCAGCCTGGTTATCAAGAGACAACCTGTCAACAAGCGTGCACTGCGTGTGGGCTGCTCATCAACTACATGGCACAGCCCACCTCCCCCACACTGACACCTCTGAACGTTTTACACCTCCTGCCATATTGTCTGTCTGTGACACCACTAGCTAATAAATCTCTTGCCCAAAAGGACAAGCCACTTCAGTGTTCCCCCAGGGCCTGAAATATGAGACCTCTCATTAAGTAGGAATAAATGTATATACCTAGTTATTATAGTGTGTATATGTGATATATAATATATATACATATTTCCAACTCACATTTATTTATAACTTGTAAAGCACCCAGATAAAATGCCCCGAAATACACAACACTCAGCACGCCGTATGAGTATTTGTGGGACGGCGGACCTCCCAGGTTTGGTGAGCATGGCCGGTGCTCAGCATCTCTTGGATAACCGCCCTGCATCCTCCCTGTGATTCTCTCTCCTGAGACAGGATCTCACGACACAGCCTAGGCTGCACTTTAACCCCCCACATAGCCCTGGCTGACCTCACACTGGAGACCCGCTTGCCTTTGCAGCCACATGCTGGGATTTACAGGGATCTGCTACCACACCCACCCAATGCATCTCCGTATATTGTTTTTAAAAAAGAAACCTACATGACTTTGGTAATCATACAACTTGCAGGTTTTAAAGTACAGAAGCTCTCTCTTAAAAGTCTCCAATGTATAAAAACAAGGACAGCTATTGGGACCATGGCCTTTTTTGGTCTTTATGAATTTTTTTCTATCAAAAGCACCATTGTTTAAATCCCCCCGCCCCCAGCCCCGCCCCAGAACACAGTCTGTCCTTGCTCCCATCCCTCGCTGTGCTGAGCGCTACCACCTGAGCTGCCATGGATTTCTCAGCTCCCCTTTTATTCCCCCACACCCTAGCCTGGCCACAGCCAACAAAGTGCAGCCAACATTTGTTTCCTTGTGTGCAGGGACAGCACCAAACACCCAAACCCAAGGTCAAGTGTCTCAACTCACACCATACAGGTGAGGCGGCCAGTGGTTGGGGTGGGGGCTCTTCCCCAATTTCCTGATTCACTCAGAGGTGCAGCGGAACCCCAAGGAAGCAGCGTTCTCTGGGGAAATACCCTGCTGGTAGCACTTTTCAAAGGGGAGAGTGTTTTAAGCCATACATCCCCCAAATTCAAATCACTGGACAGACTGTGCGGGATCTGCAGGTGCCTCTGTGGTCTCTGACATAAAGCGAGGTGATGCTGTTGCAGAATGAGCCTGGGCCCAAAGCACCCCTGCTGCTGTCCCCACACCTACCCTGTATGTCTGCTGCTTACAAGCTGGGACCCAGGCAGGTGACATCCAACTGGTTATTTCAGCTCTCAAGAGAGGAGCAGTGAGTCCAGAGGGTTCCTCCCTCACCACTGTTACTGTCCCATTGGGGAAGAGTATTATACCTAGCAAAACACCTAGTGGGATGCCAGTTACTATGTTCGTGGCCATATTATGGCAAGCTCAGTGCAGACCCCTAAAGTCAAGAGAGGCTTGAGGATAGGCTTAGGGTGGCACCAGAGAAGACATTTGCCTCAGTACACTCCAAGCTGAAATTGAGGGAAAACTTGCCCTGGTTTGTGTATGTGTCTCTGTGTGTGTCTGTGTATGTATGTGTATAAAACAATACGTAAGTAAAAAAAAAATCTAAGAAATGAAAATCATAGGAGAGAGAACACTGGACTGGGTCAAGTCCCAAATCTTCATCTGGCTTGCAGGATTCTGAGGTCTGTGAGCTCCACCCCACCGGTACCCATCTGGACACGCCCC